ACACAAATGATTTTTTTTTAATTTATTTCTGATTTAAAGAACTTGGTCCTGCTTATGATCAAAAGTTAGTCTTCCTTCGTCTTATGCATGTTTTCAATATAACTCTAATAGGATGCTTCCGGGAAATAAGGTTTGCATAGTTGATTAATTAACCCTTGTGTTTTCAAGAGAGATAAGACCAGCTGGTAATTAACAGTTGTGTTGTCAAGATAGACTCAACTGGCTAGTAATTAAGTCAACAAGTCAATTATCTTTAATTTGAGCTTATTCCACATGCTCAATGTTTTGTTTGTTTTAGTAAGGTTGAATTTAATGTCCCCTTACACGACCTTTAATTTGTTTGGTTGCAGTTAAAACTAGCAATGTATCAGCACTTAATTTTCGATAAGTCAACGAGTTAATTATCTTTAATTTGAGCGTATTCCACATGCTTAGTGTTTTACTTGTTTTAGAATGGTTGAATTCAACTAATTGGTATTCCACATGCTCAGTGTTTTACTTGTTTTAAAATGGTTGAATTCCACATGCTCAGTGTTTTACTTGTTTTAGAATGGTTGAATTCAACTAGCTGGTATTCCACATGCTTAGTGTTTTACTTGTTTTAGAATGGTTGAATTCAACTAGCTGATATTCCACATGCTTAGTGTTTTACTTGTTTTAGAATGGTTGAATTCAACACGCTTTAGTGAAAGAAAAAAAGAACAAATTTCAAAGGAACGGTCTATTGACTATTGCTTTGGTGTTTTTTTTCTATTTTTTGGTTGATAACTAGTGCTATCCCACTTAGAAAAAATTTTTGTTAGTACTTAACATTCAGTCCCACTTAGAATCATGCATGCTTTCCTCTCAATCCTTGTCAAATTTGCATGACCCATGTGATATTTTGATTTCTTTCCCTTAATGGCATAGATTTAAGAGGATTTGAAAAAATTTGGTTAAAGAAATTTTGGAAAGCGTTGGCAGAATTGCTCACAATTGTTGACTTCTCGATAAAGATCTAATTTAAATCTTACAATATTTATCAATAATTGAAATAATTTAATGGGTTCTTCTATTAAAAATAAAAGTCTTTGAGTTTAAGTCACAAAACACACAAGTGAAGTGAATTAAAAGATAAAAGAAAGTTATCTCTTATTATATAATTTAAAATAAAATAAAATAACAAATAAACAAAAAAAAATCCTACAATTTTCAAAATTGTTCCCTGAATTATTGTCGAAAGGGTGGACACCCTGTATGACGTGCCGACATTGTGACTACATTTCTGAATTAAAAGTCTGGGTCGGTTTTGGCCTTTTCTGCATATTTTGATTCTTCATTGTTAAAACCATTTGGTTCTCTCATCTTTTAACAAGTTAACACTTTGATCTTCATAATCCTGATTCCTTCGGTTTAGTCCTAAATATTTCAATTTCTTAGAACTTAGTCCTTAACTCTAAGCCACTGTAGGTTAGCCAAGTACCTTCTCTGGCCACAACCCAAGATTCAATTGTGTCTCCTCTTTCAACTTCTAGATGAAGATTGTATCATGGATGTTGATGACCACTTAAAAAGGATTAAGTGTGAAAGATATAAGAAAAAGGGAGTCGTCACTTGTCCAAATTATAAGGTGGGACAAATCACCTAAAACGAGTCTGCGTAGAGATCGGGATTCGGGGGTTCGATTAGGAGTGAGGAAGGGCATACGCGCACCTCACAATCCTCCGTCTAAACACGGTTGCATACTTTAAAATTGGGGTTTTAATTCAACTTATTTATTATATTTATGTTTGAGTCTTAAAAAGCAAGCTTGAAAAAGAGATAAACCAAATTGCAACATTTTTAACATTTTGGACTAAAATGGACGAAATCAAAGACATGCATGCACAATGAACACAAGTAAAAAACTAAAGGGACTGATTTGATTAAAATAAAAATAAAGGGTTGATTTGAAAAGGTTTGAAACTTTTGGATTAAAGTGCTTAAACATGAAAGTTCTTGATGAAATTTGAGATAAAATAGAAGCTATCTTTGACTTTGCCTAAAATTAAAGTTAATTGAGAATTAAAATTAATTAATCAAGATAATTAGTTTAATTGAATAATTAATTTAACATTAATTAAAATTAATTAAAATTAATTAATCACATTTACTAATCAT